ATCAATGCTTTATTGTTTTATTCTGTACAAAGTTGTGGTTTACGTTTCCATTTACCGCTCCAATGAAGTTACAAGCAGAACTAGTGTTTTAATTTGAATGCAACAGAGAATATTGTTATGTATGGCGGAATGGATATATTTCCATTGAATGATAATGACATCATTGAGGGAAACAAAGAGCCCGTGTTCGCTGGTGTACGGTGCATTTGGTCGATCATTATATTACACGGTATGGGATAATATCTTTTTAATGTGACAAAAGCAAACTTCATAAAAAAGTAATTAAATAGTTTACTTAAAATTTACGTAACTTAAAAATTACTGAATGACTACGGTGAATGATGTATGAAAATAAATGAACACAGTGTTTTAACTTTTATTATGGTAATACAAAACATCTAAGTCTCGTACTTGTATATGACCGAAAAAGATGGACTCTTTGATACCAATTTAAACAATCAAATTAAAACTCTTGAAAATATAGTCTTCTCCTTTTTTTGAAAAAATTGTCAAAAATGAAAATGCACGAACGTAATACTTTTAAGAGATTATCATTTTTCACATTTATCAACACAAAGCAAAATGTGATCAGATCAATAATGTAATATTTGAAAGAACCGTACGGCCTTCAACAATGAGTCAAACCCAAACAGTATTATACACTACGAAATGAACTTCACATATCCGAAAACAAATCACAAATGTACATAGCAACGTTGTGAAAAATACAATTTTGTGTACAGAAAATGACATTCGTCACTTTATATTGAGATCCAGCATAAAGAACTGTTGTATGAGTTTCGTTAAGAAAATCAGTATTAAATTCACTTAGTATAGAAAAAAAAGATGTAGTATGATTGCAAATTATACAATAATGCACTAAAAACTAAAGGACAATGATGTAAACAACTTCAGGTCCTTGTACTGCCTTCAACAATGTGCCAAACAGGATGTAAACAGTCAAAAGTCGGCGTGCGGCCTTTAACAATGATAAAACATTTTACCTTATAGTTCGCTATAAAATATTACAGATTACAAAAAATAAATGAATACAAACGGCAACCAACTACAGCCGCTTGATCACAAACTCCCGGTTCTTGACAGGCACATAAAGAATTTGACGGGGCACACATGTTTGTGAGCTCTCGAATTCCCCCCCCCCCCCCCCCCCCCCCCCCCAATAAAAAAAACAAAACAAACAAAAAACAAAAAACAAACAAGAATGTGTCCATAGTACACTGATGCCCAACTCGCACTATCATTTTCTATGTTCAGTGGACCGTGAAATTGAGGTCAAAACTCCAATTTGGCATTAAAATTAGAAAGATCATATCATGAGGAACATGTGTACTAAGTTTCAAGTTGATTGGATTTCAACTTCATCAAAAACTATCCTGACCAAAAACTTTAACCTGAAGCGGAACAGACGGACAAACGGTCGGACCAACAGACAAACAGACGGACGGACGGACGAACGGACGCACAGACCGAAAAACATAATGCCCCTAGGTGGGACATAAAAACAAAAAACAAAAACAAAAAACAAAACAAAACAAAAACAAGGGACAGACTTGCAAAAGCACAACACTAGTCTAAGAATAAACTATTAAGCAGTTGGTAATGGATTGAATCATTAGGTCAGTATTCACACAGAAACCACGAACAAGTTCCATGCTACGAGTACTAACTCCTTTGGAATTCATTAGACATTTGCACTAAAGATAACACAGATTGTGTTGTATTGAAGAATTGGGGGATATAGTTGATTAACCCCTACATGAAAAATTGTTAACAAGATTTGTAGTTTTATACACCTGTAGAATCATCTAATGCAGAAAAATCTTTATGAGGCCAACTAAAAAAACAAATTAGGGCAGCGTGTTTTAATCTAACCAAGCATTAGCCAGGATTAGAACTCATGCTATTGGGATGCAGGCGGTGTTGTCACGATATCCCAATAGCATGAATTCGAATCCCGGCGAGGGAAGAACAAAAAATTTGCTTCCGCAAATTTGCAGATTTAACACTGTTGTGCTGATAATTTAGAGTAATTATGAATATAATATGTGCTTTCACCTTCCCTGGTGATCTAATGGATGGATCTGTCGTAGAGTTGTCACTTGTTTAGACCTACTTATCAAATAATTATTTCTGTGACTGCATCTTACGATCCTTTACGATAGATATTTTAGCTAATCTGCAATCAATTCCATCTTCATGCCTAATATATCATATACTGTGTTACAACTCTAGATTCTACTGACGAGTAAAGGTAACACTAGGCCACCGAAAGCTGAATTTTTAGTTCAGTCTAGGTGGCTGAGTGGTCTAGAGCGCTGGACACAGTGCAGGCGGTGTTGTCACGATATCCCAATAGCATGAGTTCGAATCCCGGCGAGGGAAAAACAAAAATGTGCTTCCGCAAATTTGCAGATTTAACATTGTTGTGCTGATATTTAGAGTAATTATGAATATAATATGTGTTTTCAGCCCTGTATCACCTTCACTGGTGATCCAATGGATTGATCTGTCGTAGAGCTGTCACTTGTTTAGACGTATATATATATATTACTCAAGCCAAGGGGATTCTCATCGACTCAAGATTTCTAATTATTCTCAAACGAGTTTGACCAAAAAAGGAACTAATTTAATTAAACCCTTTTAACAGTCGATATAGATACAAATAACATAACATTACAAAAAGCAACTTCTGTTAATGTATAACATATTGTGAATACACAGTTTTCAGCATGTATGCTTCCAAACAAAGTCAACGACGTGAGATAGCATTTGAGAAGTCGATTCATACTTATGCGTCATTTAAATAGTTTGTCAAAAGCTTTATCAGTATATTAAATGGTGTCAAAAAGATAGTATCGTTCATCTGACAGAAATAAGCCTGGCCAGTATGATATATCATTGTAAATTGATATACGCTGTGAAAACATCGATAAGTGCGACAAAATCTATAGTTTATAGAATGTTTATTTTAAATAGCCATGATATTGTTACGTAGATGTATAAATAAGTGGCAAAATTAGTGTGTTTGTTGTTCAAGGATTGCAGTCCGCATTAAACCATGACATTGTATTTGTTATCTATTTGTTTAAAAGTTTGGTCAAACTAATGAATAGAAACACGGATTAAACTTTTTTCATGGGGGGGGGGGGGGGGGGGGTGTCCTTTCAGCAAGCATGATGTCAATTTTTTTCTCAATTAGATTACTTTCAGATTTGTTTTACATAACGTTTTAAAATAGTTCCAAGAAACACATTGAAAGTAGATAAATAAATTTAATATTTTCCCCTAAACTCTTCTGTCATTATGTTTAATGATACCATTACAGACCCAATCGACATCAACATTTTATATAATGTCTTACATATAAATGAATGCAAACTTGTTCACGATTTATCAATTGTAAATATAAACGTAACGTATACATGGTATATATCGCCTGTATCCGTCTCTGTTTCTGCCATGTTTAATAAAATAATTAAGTAAAATTGGCGGAAAACGTAGTGCCCGTTGAACACCGATGGTATATTTGTTTCTCTCTAAAGATCGAATACTTTTATTAATTACTTTATGCGAGTCAATATTTATCTATTTTTATCAAACAATTATATCAACATCATTAGTTGTGTCTGGAAGTTTTAAATAATTTACGTCACAAAAGAGTCAATATATTTTAATTACTTTCACAATACCTTCGCGTTTTAGAACAAATTTTAGAATATTAAATAGTTTAAATGATTTTTCACGATTAAAAAAAAAGTTTTATAAAATAACCTTTTACACAGTATTTGAGAGACTAAGAGTTGGTTTAAACCAAACATGGAAATGCACGTAGTCTCTATAAATACATTTAACCGATCTCATTAGTGATTAAGTGTTCAAGATATCAAGTAGCTTGAAATATATGATAGCGCCTTCATGATATTTTGTGTCCAGTAACAAACTGACCCATACGCTGAAAAGAATAATATACCTGTCACACCTAGTCCAATGCAGAAATACAGACTTAATAGAACATTATATCATATTTGTATATATCTTGTTTATATCCGATTGAGAATCACCTACTACCAAGTAGGTCCATTAACGGCATCGTATTTTGATTCAGTCAAACATAAGATGAACCTGCATATTGATACATGAAGAAGTACGACACTCGGAAATGAATATACAAGCCAACTGACAAGCATGTAGACAAGAATAACATAATAAATTTAGATCGACTATAGATAGAACGCGCATGGAGTATATCCTTTCTGTTTTTGTTCCTTCCAAATTGTGTTTCTGGGAAGGATGATCCTTTCGGAGAACACGATTTGATCATATTTTTTTTGAGGGGTGGGGAAAAAAAGGGGGGGGGGGGGTTCGAGTTGTTATCCAATTGATAGTTTATATACAATATTTTGCGGACTTTTCATGTCGTGTCATTTTTTCTCTCTTGACCTTGCATGTTATTATTTATCATACTTGTTTGTTTGACCTTCCCCTTGGTATGTTCTTACTTTTTATTCTAACCAGAACAGGCAAAATAAACCAAAACTTACATAGGATACTAGATTTGACTTTTGAAGAGGTACCTTGAAGAACTAACGTGTCTGCAATTTCAAGTATTATACAGAACTTAATAGAATTATATGACTACCTAGAACATACTTTTTTTTTACATCACCTGTCTTAAAAAGAATAGAAACAGATATAAGACAGATCTTACACTTAACAATACTTTGCCTTGTCCACAAAGCAAACAAAACTAGATAGAACAAACGTGTACTTAGTTTATCCCTTTTCTAGTTAAGTTTTAAAAAAATAATCTCGACATAATTCATCATTTCTCGAACTAAATACAAACAATAAACATAGGAAGGACGGGAAATGCATGTGCCTTGCATTCATCTGTTGTTAACCTGGGCCTTAAAGTAAATAGACTATTCTCGTGTCGAGAACTTAGTAACAAACGTAATGATTGACTAGCTAGAACGTACCTGGCATATCTTTTTTCTAATTCCTCATTTGATATAGTGGTAGGTGTTGGAGTATGTTTTCTGTTTAATCCGGTGGCGTAAAATAAACTTCCTGGTACCAAACTAGACATGTTTTCTGGTCATTCCTTTTTCCTTTAGATACCTGCAATGTGATAATAGGAATTATGTACTGAAAAATGACGCTTTTCCATAAAAAAATTTTTTTTTGGCAAAAACACTTTATTTTCTTTCTTTTTTTAGAAAATCCTTTATTTTTTAAATTACTTCCAATATATATTATATACTATGACAAGAAAATGACAGGACCGAGAGCAGTTAATTTTAGAGTTGCAAAAGAACCTCCAATACTTGTCGTAACGATGCTGTACGAAATCGACCCATATATACATCGGCAGATATTACAATGTAGGGTGACAGGATCTAAATAAATATTAGCATGTTAAGAACTTGGAACTTGCTTTCAGTAACTACGAACATTTTTATATACGGCTCTGATACGGTATTTTTTATCATTTGTTTGCTTATACTTGTGTTTTTGTCATCTTTTTGATTTCGATTAAAGTATTGTTTTTCAGTTCTTGGATTTATGTACGTTTTTATCTACCTTGAACAAAAAAAAGGGGGGGGGGGAGATCTAAAAAAAATGATTTTAACACCGTCACGCGCCTCTCCTTAGTGTTTTGTTAGTTAGGAAATCTACCGTTGAACACAGAATGATCTAGCATCGGTTCAGAGCTCGACATATTGTATAGACACTTGCTTATTGTAAAAGACTGTGTGTGTGTTTATTTTCTCTTTTTTGTGTTTGTGTATCGTAGAGTTACTTTTTCAGTGATGTATACCAGACATATCCGTTTATTTGTCATGGTTAGTAAAGTTCCCTCTTACAGCCCTCACATAAGCTGCATATCATTCATCTCCTAGGACTTCTAACTATATAATACCGAAAACCATTGTAAAACATGTGTTATTTTTCTGATTAAAAACTTAAAAGTAGGGCAGGTAATATTTACCTGCGATAAAAAGATGACAATTTTATATAATTCGAGTATTCTTGATAAATTTTGTAACATTCACCATTGAGACAGATTTGTGTGACGGTACAATAACTTCAATATAGTTTCAAGTGCTGCATAATTTATTATCAGATATTATATTCAAGTTTAAGGGAAATGTCAATGTTGTCCTATGGTTTATTCTCCTCAAAATCAATATTACATTCGATGAATTGCTTATAAAATATGAAAACCAACCAACAAAAGAATGATTATGTCATTTACAATAACCCACAGTAATCCCGTAATACCGTTAGAAAAAAGCTCAAAAGATTTTTTAAATGTTTGAATAAATAGGTAGCATGTGTTTGGAAAGTTTGTTTCAAAACTTAAGGTGAAGTTTTTCATATAGATTTAATCTAATTTAATTAAATGTATTTGAACGAATTAACAATTAAATCTAATTAGAAGTTCATTACTCCCGGTATGAATTTAATCTTATGCCTAAATAAAATTTCATTTTTGATGGCAATATTTAATGAAACTCTAAATACCAAAGATTACTAAGGACTGTTTATATATTATATAACTGATTGGTATACATCTATTGTTAAATATATCTCTTTTGTATTTGATAGTTATTTTTATTTTCTCCGGCTTTACACAATAATAATCCATCGTATTAGAAATTGAAAAGAACTGTCAAAACGGAGAAAAGTAATACAAGTGTTTTCACGTTCTATTATTTTTTTTGTAGCTTTGTGGTTGATGTTGTCTCATCATCAGGTTAACAGTCATTCATACATGTAATACACATAATTTTCCCATGAGAAATCAGAAAAAAAGAGATGAAGAAATAAAATAATCAAAGGGGAACAAGAAAGCAGTTTCTCAATGACCCGAAATGTCACTGCTTAAACTTTACACCAAGTGGCAGGGCGAGACATTGCTTTAAGTGCAGCAATGTCACTATACCTTCCGCATACTGAGATTTTTATAAACAACTAAAGTCATAGACGATGTTAATATCCCATTCAACCACTTGGGTTTTAATGTGCCTCCAACTCTTTGAAAATGATCTTTTTTTTTCAACTTCAGCATTTATTTTAATCTTTTTTAGAACAAAACTTCTCTATTTAGTTTATCCGGTTGCATTATATACAAATCAAATTTTAAATACGTGTTTGAACAATTGATGACATATACAAAATATATTCTATACCTTAATTGACAAGTATATGAAATTTAAAACGTTTGACTTAATATTAAAAGGCAACACTAGAATAAGATCAAATAGATAAATACATTTGTCGACACAAGGAACGAGAAACTGTCCTTTAAAAATCATTTAAAATTCAAGAAAATATGGAAAAATTACCTGGCTAATTTGATGCAAATCTCTCGATTGAATCACTTCCACTGTGTAAATATAAGACAAATTAAAACATACACTCTATGGGGGCAGCCATTTTCAAAGCGTTCGTCCTCACCATGGTTTCACAGGACGTAGGTATAAAAGGTAAACATAGATAGAGTTTAAATGATAATCTCTCACTTACTGTTTTGTCTGCCTTTTACAACTACCATATCTTGTTTTAAACAGAAAATCAAATTTAATTTGTTGTTCAATTTAAAAGGTTTGATTAATTGTGTATACAACCATTTAAAAGTTTAGTTAAATTTCGAATGAAAGGGACTGTGATTTAAAATGCAAGACAAGTCATGCAAATCAACAAAACTCAAAAGTATATATATATATATCCTTTCTTCACAATTAAAAAATATCTATGCATTTATTTAATGATAGTCGGGACAGAAGCTTCATACATAGACCACCGGTACTTTCTTGTCTTTAATATGATATATTTTTTTCTTCTCCAATTGAAATACACCAGGAAGAAAAAACAAAGCCACTGTCAATTCCTATCCAATTATATTGTTTAGTAATAATCCGTGTGGAAGTCTAAAGATGTTTTCATTGTATGGTCGTGAGGGACTTTTTATCCGATTACTGCAGGGTCGCAACATTTTTTGCTTCAAATATCCATTTTTCAAACTGGAATATGTAACCCCAAACCAAAAAAACAAAAACAAAAACAAAAACAAAAACAAAAACAAAAACAAAAACAAAAACAAAAACAAAAAACAAGAAGCCCAATCAACTAAATGAAATAACTAATTGGTCAGTTAAAAATAATATCTTAAAATACACTTATGCATTCTTAAACTTTCAAGCAGCATGAGGTTTTGGTCTAAAACCAAAGAACATATTCCCTATTTCTTCTTATGTGAAATATAATTAAAAAAAAACTTCAATCTTTTAACAGGCAACTATTACAATATATGACTTTGATTCCATCTACTCCATATATCAAATATAACAGAATTTTTCGTTTTTAATCAAATTCTCCTCATTTGAAAATCTGACAGCAAAACTGTATGCTGCAACTCATATAAAGCCTTCTACTGTAATGTTACACTTTCTGTACGTGTAATGAGATGCTTAAAGCCTGTTAAATTTCTCCCTTACAACATCTATATAAATATAAGGAGATGTGGTATGATTGCCAATGAGACAGCTATCCTACAGAGCTCAAATAAAGAGGATGTTATCAATTATAGGCAATTAGTACGTTTCGGCAACAAAGTTAATCGAAAAAATGTAGGTATTCTAATTGGCACCAACTGCACCTCTTTAATAGCTGAGTAATTCCTGTATTGTTAACATTCACAGTTTATGGCCAAACTTAGTATAGATCCATCAAAATCCAGCTAAACAAGTGTGGGTTCAGGGTCTAGTGGTTAAGACCGAAGACTGCAGTGCTGAAGGTCCTTGGGTTTGGAAATTTCTGTACATCAGAAGGGGATTTTCACCATACCACACACATATCTCGTACTCAGACCGGAGTTTAAACTAGGATGTGTACTTTGGAGGCCTCTGTTTGTCGAAGTTGCCCCCGACTTAGACCTTAAGATCAGTCTACGGATATTTCTTCGTTTTGTCTGTTTCCGCCGAGTAGCCAAGTGGTTCTCTCCGAGTACTAGTACTTCGGCAACCTCCACCATAGTAACAGACTTCCAGGTGTCCTAACACGCCTTTGTTAATGTAAATCAATCTAATATTTACAGCAATAGTTGACTTATTTTAGATTGGAATATTTCAGTTTCACACGGCAAACTCTTATATAAATATACCGCCGTGTTGGTTTCGTGGTAGTGTGTTCGCCTCTCGTGCAGAAGGTCTTTGGTTCAAACCCCGGCCGGATCGAACCAAAGACTTCGAAATTGGTATTTGCTGCTTTTCCGCTAAGCACGCGGTGCGGTATTAACGAGTAAGAGGAAAGATGGGTCGACTCGGAGAATAATGTGTCCGGATAGAAAGACATGTCTTCCTATGGACTGTAACCTTGTGAACTAGCACTATAATAATCCGGCTTAGCGTGCCGGTCTAGTACAAAGCAGTATTATATTAACATTAACAAAGTTTTTTTTTTGTTTGCCGCATTCTTTTTTGTGCCTGGCCCAAGTCCGTAGTAAGTAATTATTTTTTTTTTGTTATAGTTGTTGTCTGTCTTATTATTATTTTCGTTTGTTTTTTAATAACGCCGTTGGGTTACTTAACCTAATAAGTGCATCTGTAAAAATAATTGCTAAACAATCCATCGTGAATCACCTTAACTGTCCACCATAAAACAGAATTATTTAACCTTTTATGATAAACACTTAGAACAGTAGTGATCAACCATATTATATATAACTTAAAGTGGAGAAGGAGGGCTAAGGAAATAAATCTCGCAGTTACATGTATTTTAGCTACTGTATAAGGGAAGCTACCTATCTTTTTCATATTATTATTAAGCATGTATTTTTACCTTTAAAACTTCAGAACTTTTATATTCTTCAACCTAAATTGAAATTTCGACTTAAAGTGGTGACATAAGAAATTTTCATAACAAAATTCTGGTAAGAATAAGGACTTTGACTGGATGTTAATGAAACAATTTTTCTCTAAAGACTAAAAATCTAGTATTCGAACATCAATATAGAAATAAGGAGATGTGGTATGATTGCCAATGAGACAACTATCCATCCTAGTTCAAATGAAGTGGATGTTAGCAATGTTACATACCGTCTCCAACAATGAGGAAACTCATTTTCTGCATGTCAATCTATAACAGACTCTACTACTCCTTTCACCTTCTCATCGAAAATTGAAAATGGGTAAAAAGGTAAAAGGTCAACTGATTTATAGTCCGATTCAAGTTCATTGTATATGGCAAATATTATGAAATAATATAACAGGGGGCAAATGTCAGCCAGCGGACTTGTAAACAAAAACAAAAATAAAGTTCAATTAAAATTTTTGTAATTTTGTTGAGGTGTAAAATCGTTGACCGAAGTACAGTTCCGCGCTTCAAACTTAAAATATGCCCACATTTTTGACAATTTCTATAATTACATTGTACATGTTTATGCAAAAATAATGAAATTACGAGTTCTGTACATCATTTCAACGTCAAAAAGGAGAGCATGTGCAGTCATAGATTTTGTATTCTATTGGTAAATAAAAATAACTTTTTAGATTGCTTCGGCCAATCAAAATTTCGGAATTTTATGAACTGTGTATGTAATGTAACTATTAGACAATGAAATGTCCATTGTCCACATATACAAGTCGGAGAGTTCCAATGCTTTTTCAGTTTAAATTCCACCAAAGAATATAAAAACAAGGAGATGTGGTATGATGGCCAACGAGACAACTATCCACCAGAGAAGAGGTATGATTGCCAACGAGACAACTATCCACCAAAGATGAGGTATGATTTCCAACTAGACAACTATCCACCAGAGATGAGGTATGATTGCCAACGAGACAACTATCCACCAGAGATGAGGTATGATTGCCAACGAGACAACTATCCACCAAAGTTCAAATAAAGTGGATGTAAACAAGAAGTATATTTTTTCATAAAGCCACTATATTGTACTTTTACTTGAACATTTTATCTAGTTATTGGGCTAAACAGAGAAAATAGGTAAGTATTAAATATAACGGTTGTGTATTGATATCCGATAAGTTAGGGATAAACAAAATATTGGAGTGAAAACAAATCGCTCTGATATGAAAAACAAGTGACAAATATACTAAATTTACAGGTGAATTCAATTGGGAAAGTCCCATTTCCGTTGCAATATGTCCAAATAATTGTACGTCTAATCTCTGAAAAGGGCGATATATATTTGCCTTTCAATTTCTGTACTTACAACGAGGGAAATCAGTACTTAAGAATTGAACGCTTTTTTTTTTTTATTTGATCGGAGTTAAATTAGTTCTCAAATATTTCAAAAAGACGCATTCAATACTTACATGTAACAATTACATTTTTATCCTACCACCATAACATTACAAGTTAATTTGTTTCATTATTGTTTGTTTGGGGAGCACGTGTATACAGATATGATTTTTTTTTATTTTGGAATGCCTTGCGATGGTTGTCAACCAATCAAAATTACGTATTCTTATGAAACATATAATGTAATGTAATCAGTGTAGATTAAAAATGTTAATAATATGTATTCACTTGAATGGCATAAAGCTGTCTGCAATGATTTCTGTTCTCAGGATATGAACTTTTTTGCTTTGGTGCATACAAGTGACGTCTGCACAGGCATACAATAAAGTCGATCGCATCGGTTTCTGCTTCTTTTGGGGTTATGAATCATTTATAACAAATAAGCATGCTAGTTACTTTCATTACACATAAGTTTTTGGGGATTCATGGAAAAAGAGTAGACTCCTTATCTGGACTAATGATATTTTAAATGTGTTTTCAGTATACTAAAATAAATACGCCTCTCCGAAAGATGAAATTCTCGTTGACAAACGACAGCCAACAAATATATAACGGTGCGGTATATAAAAACTAAATCACTAGATAAAATAGTGACTTCCGAAGAAGAGATAATATTATAGCTAGTTATTAAATTGTAATTGACATAAAACTGAAGTTCAAAATACTGCCTGGAAAGTTCATTTCATTTAATCTATTTTTATGTTTCTGTTTAACATATTTAAGTTTCATTGGTTTTAAAGCTTTTATTAGTCATGCTAGTACTAATACATGTGCATAATTATGATTGATACACTACACTGCATGGGGATTTGACATTTCCATCTACCCACCAACCCCAGCCCACTCTGATATTGAATACAGAATTGACGAAACACGTATAATACCTCACACTGAAATCGGTATTTATTTATTAGAATACCATCTGATGAGTATATTATTAGGAATATGTTTTTTGAAATTAAAGTTGTCTTCCTTTGAATATCTTGAAGAGCTCGTTTTCATTTTGTCCTGAGGGTTTTATCGCAGCTTAATAATGAGACAAAGTACTAAGAGGTAATAATATTAACAATACCAATTTCACTGCAACTGATGCGCATTTCGACAATTAATGTCTCTTCAGTGATGCTCGAGGCCAATATATTTCAAAATCCAAAACCTAATACAAACGTTGAAGAGCTGATCAACCAA